CCTTCCGCTTCTTCATTCCCGTTGCCGTTGACCGGCCAGAAGCCGCGGTGGTCCAATGAAAACTCACCTCCCGACTTGTTTCGCGGATTGTTTCTGCGAGTTCCGCGAGGGAAATGAGGGATAAGGGAGGGAGGGGGAAACGAGATAAATTTTCAAATGCGTTTCCGCGAGGAAACGATAGGTAAAGGCAAGGCACGCGATGCAAAAGCGACGCTTTCGATTCATCACGTTTCAAGAGCAACATCGGCAGAATTTAATATCCAGCAACGAAAGTTTAATTAGCTGGAAGTTAGGAAGTCGCGACTCGGCAGAATTCACGCTGACAGACAGACAGACGAATGGACGCCAAAGTAAAGCGATACCTCGTTTTACAACGCGATGGGTGTAAAAAGAGGGTAGGGCGCTCAAGAAGCATCATCATTGTAAAACATAATGAAGATTTCTCCCAATGGCGCTTAACTTGGCCGGATTATATGCGGATTTGAAGAGAAAAATTTAATTAAAACTTCAAGAAGATATTTTCAGGCGTTTGAACGTAAAACAGTTTGCAAAAATGAGATGCAACATGCTTTAAACAAAATAAATAAAGGCTTCTCTGGTATTTAATCAATATAGTAAAAAAGTTACGATAAAAGCCGAAACGCAGTTGATAGTACGTAATATTCTTTAATATACTTGGAAATTAATTTAAAATTTTGTAAATTACATGATAATTTTTTGGTCTACGTTTGATTTTAGCGGAAATGTCGATCTCTAACTTGAGATACGTAATTATTATTTCTATTTATTAAATTATGCAATTAATAATTAAATACTTCAAATTAAAAATTGACATTGTATCTATATTAACAATTCAAATATGGATAAAAAATTATCATGCAATATCTAACACTTCGGATTGACTTATCTAATGTTAGATAACATTTTAATAAATATTTTAATTAAGTTAAACTTCATTAAATTACATAATTATGCGTATTATAGAATTGCGTATGTGATTAGATAATTGCTAGCTAGATTCGCTTTAAATATGTAAATTATACGTGATTAATTATTAATATCAGTGAGACAATTATCGCAATTGCTTTAAAGTTTGTTATATGTTACACGCAATATTGGGATAGTCAAAAGAATATAGCAATATACAAACAAAAAATATTACAAGTTTGAAAGCGTACTGGGATTACCAATGCTCCAGTTGACAGCCTAGTTTTAACACGCTAATTGCCGAGTGCAGTCAACCGAAACTAGCTGGAGCGATATTTGTGTCAAAGCGACAATTTATCTAAAATTTGCAAGCAATTGCAATCGCAAAGCAAAATTGTAAACGGCAAAATAGACCTCATAACTAACTATATCGAACTGCGTGCGTTGAACAAAATTGCATTATAAGAAAAATTATTACATTTTAAATTTCCGATATACAGTGTTTCCAGTTGTTTTGAGACGTGAATCAACAATCAATGAATTAAAATATAATACAAAAATTAATTGATATTATTTTCAATTATCAAGTTCTAACTTAATCTTAAAAAACACATAAAACATTTTACTTTATCTTCTTTATTTTTTTCTTGCATGCTGCATATATTTTCTGTATGTATTACGACACGCAAGATATGATAAATTTCTGATCCTCCTCTTCAAATCAAACTTTCAACATTAAAAGTCACATGGAACTTATGTTTCAGAAGCTTGTCGTCTGTTCGCAACGCGCTTATTTGGCTCGCAAAATTTTTCAGAATATTCCGCGCAGAGAGCCGGGTCGTAAATAAAAGGGAATCGCGCAAGTTTCACGTACCCGGCGGCGGGTTGTTCGGTACCGCAATGTGAATTGCACTCGGGATTTTGGCTGGTGTCTCCAAGCTCGAGTTGGAGGAAAGCGTCGATCCGACAACGCGGCGCACAGCTTAACCAAGTTCTCTCTTGCTCTCTTTCTCTTTCTCTCTCTCTCTCTCTTTCTCTCCCTTTCCCTTTCTCTGCTCACAAGCAAAAAGGCACCTATGAGAGAACGAGATCACCTCGACGGCGAAAGCGGCGAAGATGCTAAACTCACCGGGAACTATTTGGCCGTCGAACTAATTTAACGCTCGGTTTAACAGGGGCGCCCGACCTGTCCTCGACTTGTTCCACTGCAATGCGAATCGCTACTATAAAGGAGCCACCGACTATCTCGATATGACTCTCGCTCTATCTCGCCGGCGAACTTTCGACGGAGGTCGAACCCGGCACTGTCATGTCGATAGTTAGGTACCTTCCGGTGCGCTTTCTTCGTTACGAAATCGTACGCTTCGTCTGCCTTAACGAGAATTCGTCGTAAATTTAACTTTTAGTGCTTTTCGGAATTCTGGCAATCCTCGCGATGCGTTCGACGGAAAAAAGTTTGGTATGGTCTGCCGATTTGGAGTTTTCATCTGAAAGCCGAACTGTGAGAATCGTTGGAAAAATTCCAACAATCTTAATTAATGTGTGTCCGAATGCCAAATTCATTTTTTTTTCGCTTTTAAGAGGCTTTTAAGAATCACGTTCAATTTGATGTTACATATTCTTCTTGGTGACAAATTATCTTGTTAACTAAAAATCTTGTAACAAAATTCTATTTCTAATTTCTTACATTGCGAAACACTGAGTTAGCAACAATAAACGAGAAAATTAAAGTTTTAAAATACTTTTTAACTTTCTAAACCTTCCGAAAAATAAGTTTTAAATAGATTCTAAATACTCAATTATTTCTTGTAAGTACGCGAACAAACATGTTCTCAAATTTTTTCGTGTGCAGATTTTTCTTCAGAAACGAAAGTAAATATTTCCGAGCTTGGATCACTGTGGCGAAAAAGACAAGCAGCTACTAGACATTATAAAATATGGGATGTTGGCAAAGACTGGATATTAAATTCCATCCATCCGTTTGGCAAACAATCATCTCGCAAATATTCTCGGATGTCTCTGTGGACCAACTTTTCTCCACGATAAAAACGGTGACGCTTAAAAGCAAGGTAAGCTTGAAAATCGTAAAGAGATATCGAGATATCGTATCGCACGATCGACGATGCATTAAACGATGCTTTGCACGTGGCTTTGAAAATTTTAGCTCTAAATGGTCCACAATTCGCACAGCTGCACCCGGCTTTTTTTAATGGATGCTACCATCTCGCCTAAAAGGCCGCGCCTCCCTAAAATGCGGCGGCAAAGTGTTATAACTCCAACGTGTCGCTGGCGCGAAAGGCGGGAAGGCGGAGAGGGGGTGGGGGGAGCGTGGCGAAAGGTCGCGAAAAATACGAGGGGCGGATAATGGCGGCATAGGTGATAGCAAAAAGAAGTAAGAGAACACTAAAACGCGAAAACAAGGCAACTGACTCAACAAAGCTGCGCTGAGGCTTTTTTGGTGCGGTCGCGTCCATCGATTTGTCACCAATTTTTCATCAGTCGCGTATATGCGTTCACGAAATTATTTGTTGCAGAGCATACATTAGACGCGTTATTAATTTTGGAACAGTAGATGAATTAACTGGAATATAAACAGTGGACACCTGATAATAAATATTTCGTAATAAGTGTTGGATCTTTTATCTTTAGAATTTTTTGCAACTTTGTACTTGCGATGCCTCTCAACTTTCTAAACGCACAAAGGTTAATTTAATAGCAAGTGATGTCGCGATAGAAAGCGAACAATATGTTCGTATAATGCTCCATCTCTTCGTCTTATCGGTTTCAGCGCGGGTGACCGAAATAGACAAGACGGTGCACTCTCATCATTAGCCTTCCATTGTTCCGGAGTCTCATGCACGTTCGACCTATTTTATGCCTTATCAGTCAGCATCTCCCCGGCGCGTTGAATGAAGTGCGCGGAACTACCGAATTCTCGCGACAAGATCGTCCGCACGCTGAGCGAAACTACCGAGTTTGTTGCGACTAGATCGTCAGACGCCCTTTGTGCCACTTCCTCGAGCAATTTCTATTAGCACAACAGAAGAAACTATAAAAAGAAACTGTAACTATTTTTTTTTTTTAATATGAGCAATAACGATTCCGTTCTATTGCGAATTAGATAATTATATTAATGCAAAATATTTTACATATATCTGTATAATAGAATATTAAAATTAGCGGAAAATATATTTGCACAATCGTCGCGAATCTGTTTGTGTTCGACATCACAATCGGCGATTGCCGTTGTTCCTTCAAACACCGAGCATATTCTCGACGATGTCGGTGCATTTGGCTTAACGGTTCGGCAGAAATATCGTCGGACATTTCGACCATTAGCATTTCGGACACTCATGATTTATTCATAAAGAAAGTGCCACGTGCAGCGATGGAGGCGGTTGCCGTTGGAAGCAGAAGAGGAGGTGCGGGATACGCGCAACAATGCATCATAATTCGCTATGCAAAGGGGCACGCGCGAGAGAACCTTGTATAAACGCTCGTGTTTAAGTAGATGCATAAAATACGAGAATATCCCGTAGCTGGTCATCCCCGAGAAATGCTGCGGATGAACAGCCGCTCACGTATGAGATAGATCGCAATTATACCGCTGGAGTTTCACTTCGAACGTAACGTGAAACGTAACAAGCATAAGGGATTAGCCGGATCTAAGAGGCCGCTGCGAGAATATTTACGTGTGGACTGTGAGCGTGTCGCGAGAAATGTAAGTACGTTGATTCGTATTCCTTTAGTATTCCATTCCAATTTTAAGACAACAAATAAATAAAATTAAAATGTTTCGCTTATTGTATTAAAAAATTTTTGGTATCAAAAATGCTAAATTACAAAAGGTGAGTTCTTTTAACAAATTATTCGGTAAATGCTACGATTGCGACACAACATGTTAATAACTATATCATTAACGTTTTGCTATTATTTAGAAAATCTTTTATATTTTTAACTCTTTTTCCTTTGTGGTATTGCCGGGGTTTCTATGATATCGAGATCATTTGCGGATTTCCAGGTTTTCACTTGAAGGAGCCTGACTGACGGACATACAACCTACGAGAACTTACCAGTAACTACTAGTCTGGCGTACGATGAACTTTCCACAGTGTCACCGGTGATGTGGTGCACAGTGCGGCATCGGTAGGTCGAGTGGGCATCGGCGGAAGTCACGGAGAAGATGAGTAGTTCTCCAGTGGGCAGCATATGGTATTTCCCGCCTGTGGGCAGAAGTAGCAATAATGTTAACAATAATGTACAATAAAGAGATCAAATATTCAAATCATTTTGTAATATTCAGGAATTTAAATAAAGATTCAGGAATTTAAATAAAGACAATCGGTAATTATTTTATTGGAAATAAGATAATTAATAATATTTAATATATTGTTACATATTATGGTTTCGTTTATCGATTTCGCCCATACATTATTGTATCAATTCATATGTTATATATTATTATAGATTTATATCGATTATGTACTAAAAATTACAAGAAAGCGCTATCAGTTACTATACGCTTCAGTTCGTTCTCTTCTGAATCGTGTTCTCAACGAAACAAATACGTATATAATTGCATTAAAAAATAAATCTTTTATAAATTGTGAATAATTATTATTCTTTCTAATCCGATCCTATCAGATTAAAGAATCTATAATAAATGCAATAAAAGATTTGTATTAAGGCTCCTGGGTAGTCACCGCAGCCATATTAGATTCGTGACGTCAGAAGCGAGAAATGACACGCCGAGAATTCTTGCGTGCCATTTCTAAATAAAATGATAATTTAACAAAGTAACACTCTGGATCGCTTTAAGACACCTGTAAAATTGTCCGAAAACTATGCTTTTTCCTTGACAGGTTATAAACAATCGTTAAATCAACCGTGAAGCGAAGCCTAATTATGCGAGAAAACACACGGTTGACAGCTGTCTGTATGAGTAGAAAATTCTCCTTCTACGTTGGGCTTTCCCTGCTAATCTTAGTTTTCGGATAATTTTACAGGTTTCATGAACACGTCACATATCACAGTACTAACATTTAACGAATATTAATGAAATGGCACGCAAGAATAAATTGGGTAGTCAACATGTCATTTTTTCACGCCTAATAGTTCATCGATTCACCACCTAAGACGCTGCATAAGAATTTCTGTCATATGGACATGTCGGTAACGGTACTAAGCTATATATATTCTGTATTTATCGCGTTTATTTTTTGTAAACAAATTTTTAAATTATAAATTAACATTTTGTATGTTATTCAGTAATTTACTTTTATCGAATCAATTGATTAGGTCAAACTGTTACACTATTTATTTATACGATAAATCGACTGGGTAAATTCGACTAGGTTTTTATTCCTACCACAATTATGTCGCTACTGTCAACGCGGAGTTCACGGCTGCGGGACCAGGAGCCTTAAATAGATGTAGATAAGTATTAAAGAGATAAAATAGAATTGTATAAAATGTAACATAATATATGTATGGTAATACCATATAACTGACTTCAAAGTGCAATTGTATATTTACTTTTTCTACATTTAATTTCAATAATTAAATTATAAACTATATTTAATTTTATTATTATAACACTATTGAAATGAAGTAATGTGTACATTAAATGCTTTTAAAAAATTTATTTGATAAAAACACAATTAGCTTTCGTGATTCTTGGAAAAAAAATTATTTTTAAATTTATCTCAACCTACTCTTTTAAAGTGACGACGTGAATTCTACGAAACACTCAGTATGACGCATTTCTCATCGACTCGGCGAGTTGCTTTCTCATGCTCTCTCTTGCATTCGCGCCTGTCGTCTCTGTCGGGCTTCTATTAATATGGAAATTTCTTTAATGGAAAAGGGTGCCCGGAAACGGTCCAATGCTGTAAAACTCGCGCCGCGAGAAACAATAGTAGCCATAGAAAAGTGATTCGCGACTGCTCTGCGTAATGAAGGGCCATCTCTGTTTAAGTGACTCTGTGTAGAACAAACGATCAGCAGCAGAATCACACTTGACGCGTAGGAATGCAAAAAGGAGTATCGGCACGAGTGAGAATCGATACTCGTAAAAATTCGAGCGTGACCGCTGGACGGCGAGAGCGTGCCCGCTAGCACACTCGGTGGCTTAAAATGGTGAGTGCCGCGTTAAAAAAAATAGCGCTTCTCGAGTGAATTCCACCGACAATCGTTGTCGCACGCGCTCGTGCCTCTCATTATATCTCTTAGGATAAAATTTGTTTAAAAAAAGATATTTTAAATAGACACTTTAATCTTTCCGTTAGTGTGTTCATACAATAGCATTACATTTTGTATTAAAACTGCAAAAAAAACCAGATTATGTTAGCATTAATTAACAGCTTATGTACAAAATAAAATACACATAAAATGAGAATATATGTCAACGTTGCTATTTGATATATTTAATAAATAAATGTTTGCAAATAGCAAAATGTAAGCGCAATTAATAACTTACAATTAAGATCAATAGTCTAAAAAATGCATACAAAAGCATTTACGCATGCAATTATCTTGCACTCATGAGTTGTTAATATATGCACTATATAATATTACAGCAGTTTGCGTATGTTTATAAAATCTCATTAAAAATATAAAATTATTGTTTTTTATCTCTATATTTTACAGATTATTGATTCTCAAAATTGCTTTTAGCACAAAATATTCAATTATTAAAATAAAATTTATATTTTAAAGTGCATTGTTCATAGAGAATTTGCGCTTTGAATAAAATTTCATTTCGGATTCTAAATGCGCTCATTATATTAAATTTTACAAAAACATTACAATAGCAAATTACACACGCAATAACGCAATCAATAGCGCGCAATTACACGTATGTCATTAAACCTAATTAATCAAAATATCGTGAAATTTCGTTAATTGTTCGCGATTTGTATTTACGAACAGTCGAAGAAATTGCATGGTGCATTGCATTGTAACGCGCGTGCACTATGCATTGCAGCAAGAGAAATGCAATAATGAATTAATTTCCTGTCAGACGATCGGACGATCGATGGAACACGTCGGAGTTAGATTCAGGTGCGCCGACATTGAATGCTCGACGTTGAATAAACGTTAATCAAACCCCGTAGGAATTTAACGGGCCTACACGGAAGGCCGACTTTCCGTTAACTCTTCGGCGCATTTTCAATTATTTTTTGGAATGATGGTCGTACTAACGTTATTTCATTACTTCATTTCCGTGCTCTTAATACTCCGCATTAAGTGAATTAATCGAAGTAAATAACATGAATCGTTTTGTTAATGCGAAATTTTAATTTTTTGGATAAACATTGTGCTAAATAGAGAGGCTTTTGCTGTATATTTTGTAATATTTTTTTAGATACATAAAACGCAATCAATAGCGCGCAATTACACGTGCGTCATTAAACCTAATTAATCAAAATATCGTGGAATTTCGTTAATTGCTCGTGATTGCATTTACGAACAAATTTATCTAATAAAATTTATATTACCTACATTATTCTTCAATTATTTTACTTTGCTTCGTGTATATCAAACTGTTTTAAATATAAGCAATTTAATTTTCTTAATAAGATTTATTTGAGACTAATAAAAGTTACTTGAACAAACAAAAATTTATATAAACTTTTATCGACTTTTATCCACGATAAAAAATGAAGCTCTGTTATATTTATTTGCATTCTCCAAACTTTTAATTTGTCAAAGTTTTCTTTAAATTGTTACGTTAAGCATTAGAACTCAGTTACTATTTTTGCCAAAGGGAAACTTGCTACGTCTTTGCTAAAAAATACATCTGTTTATTATCAGGGTTGGGAAAGTTATTTTGTAAAAGTATCTAGTTAAAATTACAGTTCTTATCATTGAAAAAACAACTAGTTACAGTTACAAGTTACCGATTCTAAAAAGTAACATGTTACAGTTATAGTTACTCAAAAAGTAACGAGTCGTTACTTTTCAGTTACTTTTTTGCAATAAATGTGCACTACTATTCTAAATATACGAATCTTACATTTCAAGATTTATTAACTTATTATATACTACATACATAGGTACTTAATTTTATGTTATATTATTTTATATGTAATAAATCACAATTGTTTTAAACTTAAAATAAAAATACATTTAAAATATTAAATTAATTAATAAATAAATAAAAATAAAATTAATAAATAAAAATTATTTAAAATATATTATTATACACTTAGAATAAAAATTATAGAATTAAGATTTTTCAGTTTAAAAATTCACGAATTTCACACAAACAGTCGTAACTTTCCGAAAAATCGTAAACTAATGTTTTAGTTCTTCTTAAAGTCTCAACTTTATGCTTATATGATAATCATCCT